GCCGTGGACACACTTCGCTTCGCCCACTTCTTCGAGAGGACCCCAGTGCTCCCACCACGCAGACCGCTGAGCACACCCGGGCAGGGCCGCTGCCCTTCCCCTCTGCGGTGTGCGAGGCCGGTCCCCGGGGCAGGAGAGCCGGGTGCAGCGAGGTCCCGCCGAGGCCGCAGGGCCCAGAGGTCAGGGGGCCCTCCAGGGGGCTCGCTCCGGGCCCCTCCTGAGCTCCAGGGCCCCTCCCAGGGGGCCCCTCCTGAGCACACCTGCCGTCCACAGTGGTTCCCGCTGCGTGTGAGCTGACCACAGCACTCTGCCGGCCCTGGCCTGCCCGACGACAGGTCGCACTGGAGGTGGCACATGTCCCTGAAGAGGCCACCGGGGCCTGGCCCCGATACAGCGGAGCCCCACGGAGAAGCCAACCACGCTCTCTCCAGACTTCTGGGAGAGGCTCTCGGGCACGGCTGGCCGGCAAGGCGGAGCCCCACTGTCCTCCCAAGGCCATCCGGGCTCCAGTCCTTCGGGCCTTCTGCCCACACTGGCCTCCACTGCCGGGGCGCCGGGGCCACGGCCTGCCTGCCCCTTTCAAGAGGCCACTGGTCCAGAGCCACCTGCTTCTTTTGACAGCCAGCCACACAAGGAATGGACTTACAATTTTTCAAGGCACAAACTATTTTTAAAAGATCAGGAGGGTGTGTGTGTCTTTTGAACTTGCTGCCAACCCAGCAGTGTTTCGGGCTTACGGTGTGCGTGGTGCCGAGGCAAAGCAGGGCCCCGGCGGCGGTGTGCCGGCGCCGAGTGGAAGGCCACGCAGGCAGGAGGGTGCCGCGCCGCCCGCCGGGAGGGGGCCCGCCTGAGAGGAGGCCCGGCCCGCTGTGCTCCGGGCCCAGGCCGGCCGGCCGTGAAACAGCAGGGGTGGGACAGTGGGGCGGGAGCACCCGGGCCCGCGGAGCTCCGTCTCACCTTCGCCTCCTGCAGCCCCCGGGGACGCGCAGTCCAGGCCTGGGCGTCTTGCCTCGAGGATCTCAGGGGTGGAGGTGCAGGGGGCCGCTCGGATAACTCGCCTGGAGGGGCGCTCCTCCCCTCCCTGCGCGGGGGCCCCAGGGTCCAGCTCTGGAAGCTCCTGGTGTGCAGGAGCCCCGGGCAGGACGCCACAGCGGCTCCCCGGCTCTGGGCCAGCGGGAGCCTCCCAGCAGCCGGCCCCGCAGCAGCCGGCCGTGTCCCTCCATCTCCCCGCTGCTGGCTGGGGGCCGAAAGGGCGCCGGAGCCCAACATCCGGGACGCCGAGCGTGCCCAGCACGGCGGCCGGCCAGCAGCCAGCACAGCCTCGCGCCGCAGCTCGCTGCGGGCAGTCCACCGTCCTTCCTGAGACTGGACCGGGCGCAGGTGAGGGTCACACAAAACACTGCACACCCCCGACACTCAGGACAGACGCTGCAGACCAGGCGTCCCATTGTGAGACACGCAGCATCAGTCGTAAGAGGCAGCAATGCCTGTGTCCATTTGTCCTCTAAACGTTAAGAAGGCCCTTGCTTTCACAGCACGTGAAAGCTCCTCCTTTTTGGCTCCGATCGCTGAGATTTTATAAAGCTTAGACATCAGAGTGACTGCTGAAAATTATCTGCATTTACAGCTCATCCACACGTCTTATTTAATGTCAGTGTACAGGGGCCGCCGCAAAGGACCTCGGGGAATCGAGGATAGAGTGAGTCTGCGGCCGGGACGGTGAAAACCAAGGCAGGGGACAGGTGTGCTTTTCTTAAGATTATGAAGTAACGTACTGGCCTCAAAGCCCCACCAGCTACTGCAACACTTGAGGACTCAGTTTACCAACATTTCATTTTAGGAAGGCTCTTTATAAAATTTATTCAAGTTGTCAAGAAATTAGGTGAAAATATAAAAAAAAACCATACATACAAGTTTAACTCTTGATTTTCACTAAAAGCAATATACAACTTTATACAATATCACCTAACGTAGCAATCTTTAGTAAACTTAGGTGTACAGAAATGAAAATGCAAACACGTTTTCTTGTCCACGTTCAACCTCGAGACGGCGGTTCGACGGCGCCGCGGGCCCTGCGCCCGGGGCAGCGGCCCCAGGGAAGCTGGCACCCGCGGGGCTTCCGTCCCAGAGGCCGAGTTCACACCTGCCACGTGGGCTCCGGGGTTCGAGGGAGCAGCAGAGGCCCGGACTCGGTCCCGACTGCTGAGCCCGGTGACGGCGGGCCCCCCAGCAGGCCCCGGGCTCCTCAGGGGCACGCCGAGGCAGGCAGGCCCCACGGTGGACAGGCCGGCACCAGGGGCCAGTCTGGGCAGAAGCCCACCGACTCCCCCGGGCCACCTGCACTGGCGTCCTCGACCCAGCGCTTGGCCATCTTTCCTGCAAAACCCGACGTCGAACTCTGCGTCTGGCCCCTCCTCAGACATCACACAGAATGTCACACAGAATGGGGCCCCGGGGCCCCCCGCCCCCTTCCCCAGCCCCTCCTGCCCGGCGGCTTCCCCTCACGCCTTGAGCTTCGCCAACAAAGAGAGCACAGGCCCTTCCCCAGGCAGAGGTGGCAAGGACCGTGCACACCGGTGCAGCCCCCCAACGGAAAGGCCTCGCCAATGTGCCCCCAGAAGGGGGAGGAGCCTGAGGGAGCGGCCGCCTGGCTCCCTGCCAGCTCGGGCTTGGCCGTGAAGCCGCCCAGTGGAGCCCGACATGAGGCCCCTGGGAGGGCCGCGTGCACACGCCGCAGCAACCGCGAGCGTCTGCGCGTCTGGTGCCTCCCGGGTCCTGCACATCGGCGTCGGTGGTCTCCGCTCCGTCCCCTCCCCCGCCCGCAGACGTGCACCCTGAGTCCCGGGCCAGCGCCTCCCAGGGGAACTCTCCAAAGACGGCAGGAGGGTCAAGCAGCACAAAAGACAAAACTAAGACTCTCAGCCACTGTTTCAGCACCTGCAGAACCCAGAGTGACTGGTTACTTGGAGAGCGGCCGCCGGCTCCCCTTACACACGTGCTGCCCCTGTGAAAGGCCAGGCTTTCCCCAGGCCACGCCCCCAGCCGTCTGGGGCGTCTGAGTCCCCGGCCCTGCGCGGCCAGTGGGTTTAGAGCCGCTCACGGGCAGCGCCCAGGCCAGAAGGGCGCCAGGTCCTCGCCACCCTAGCCTTGCTCCTGTCTGTGCCTCGTGCCACCAGCCCAGCGCGGGACGGGGGAGCTGGGCAGACCGAGGAGCAGCGGCCTCCTCTGGCCCACAGCTCTGCGGCCGGGGGCTGGTCCAAAGAGACCCTTCTGCTCCAGCCGACTAACGTTCGAGCTGAAGACTGAAAAACTTCAATGACGAAGCTCAAGGTTGGAAGACACCACCAGGAAAGTGCCCCCCAGGTTCCTCCTGTGCCCCACCCACCCGCGGCCAGTGTGCCCTGAGCCCCCGGTCCCAGCCCCCCGACCCCCCCCCAGGGCTGCAGCGCCAGCACACAGGAGCCACCGAGGGCGGGCCCTCCTCGCAGCCCAGCCCTGGCCGTGGGGAACACCGTGCGCGTCCTCCTGACCTCAGGCCAACACTCCGTCGACTGCCGAAGAAAGGGGGCAGCGTCGGGGGCCAGCCTGGGCCTCTCCAGCACCGACCCCCCGCAGGGCCGGGCAGGCAGAGGGGACACCCCCGCCAGAAGCTGGAAGAACGTGGCTGTGACCGAGCCCCACACTCCAGAGCTGGTTTTTTCAGGAACAGTAGCATCCTCCTCTCGCCTCCCCCCACCCCCCGCCCCGCCTGCCTCTCAGGTGGGACGCCCGGCGGAGCCACGAGCGGGCCACAGCGGACTGCGGAGAGTGGGCAGGGCACCGCAGCCGCCCCGTGAGGGCCGCTCCCCTGGGAGCAGCCCCTCGCCCTCCGCCCAGGCCGAGGGCAAAGTCTTGCATCCGGAACCTGAGGGCTCGAGGCCTCGGAAGCAGCTGGGACAGGGCTGCTGCACCAGCAGGCGCGCGGTCAAGTGCACAGGGCTGGTGGTCGGCCTCTCCCTCGGACAGCCCGACTGAGCCTGCGAGGCCGGGACGCCCACCGGCTGCCGTCTCTGCGGCCTCAGCACAGCCAGCGTGCAGGGACCAAGGACCCTGTCCTCCCGGCGGACAGGAGGGGGCCACGGAACCGTCGGCATTAAGGAGCCTTGCGGTGCGGCGGGGAGCAGGCCCGAGAGAGGCCGGGCCTCCAGGGCGCGCTGCGCTGGGGGTTTGGAGCGGCTGCCCCGCCAGCCAGGGCCGCCCGCGGCTCTCCGACCGTCCAGGCCTCTCACCTGGCTGAGCCCCATTCACTACGCAAACCAGCACACGTCATCAGTATCTCTGTATTTAATTACAAAAGTGTGCAAAACAAACAAACCTAAATGGCCAAAATAAGTTAACAAATAAGATAACCATCATCCTGACATGAAACACAGAGCTCAGAGAACCGCCCGTTTGTGCGGAAACCGGGATCCGACACTCCCCCACCGCGGGCAAGGGTCCGACGGACTCTGGACCGAACACCGCGGTTTCCCCTGGGTGTGACACTGGACAGGGGCTGTCCACACCCTGTCCCCAACCGCCACGGGCCCAGGGCCCAGGGTGAGGGCAGAGCCCGAGGGCCAGCCCAGCGCTGGTGACCCAAGACGACCCCTGAACGACCCCTGGATGCCTGCACCGACAGCAAGACCGGGGGCCTGCGCCTGGGCTCCCGCTCCAGGGAAACCGGCCGGGACCCCGGGGTCTGTCGGTCCGTACACCACAGAGCTCGGGGGGCCCGGGCTGTCCAGGGCCTACAGCGTGTGCCTTTTTGACCAACACCTGCGCCCCAAGAAACAAACCCTCCCCCAAAACCTGCCCCAAAACAAAAGCAAACAAAACCTTCTCCTCGCTGGAAAAACACGTAAGCGAAGCGTGTGGGACAGAACGGTCCTGGCTCACGTGGCAGAGGCACTTGGGGCGCCTGCGGGGCCGCGGCTCCCGAGAACCGTGCACAGAATCCCAATCAAGGTGGTACAGACCGCTTCTTTGAAAAAGATGTTTATTAAACAATTTTAATTGTCATAAAATGACTAAAATGGGTTTTAAAAATTAAGGCTCTTCTCTTTCTGTGGATTGCCAGAACAATGTAAAAATAATATCAACCAACCCTGCTGAACGCTTTGTTCCTAAAGTTAAATTTCATAGATCCCTAAACGCTTTATGATTAAGATAAAAAAACTGGACTAGAAAGGGCGGCCGGCGGCCGGCGCTCTAACTGAGGATGTAAGCGGAGGTGCTCCGGGGAAAGCAGAGATTGTAAGTGCAGCCCCTGGCGCCGCTGCTCCCACACGGCCACGACCCCCCACGACCCGAGAGCCGACGACAGGAACACTGACCTCGGGCTCCAGTGGCTCCCAGGAGGGCGGCGGACTCGGCTGGCAATTAGTCTGATTATACTTTTTTAAACGTCCTAAGGTGAATTATCAAATGATTCAGAATTACATGGCATGCAGTATCCAAAATTATGGCTCTGATGCATTTAGATTTACATTAAGAAGAAGTGTCATTCATCCATTGTACACCCACCCCGCCCGCAGGAAAGAGTCGCTACCCACCGAGTCCCGTCCGGGGCAGCGTCAAGGGTTCAAACTCACCCCCTTCCCCGGCCGCCCCCATGTGCAAACAAAGCCCTCCTGGCAGGCGGTGACCACGCAGTCCTCGAGGAAAATCAGCACGGTCAGGCGCTCGTGCGCTATCTTCTTGCAGACGAGCGGCTCCAGCAAGGGCACGTCCTCCATCCGGGGACACAGGGCTGTCCCCAGGGTCTTGGCCGGGTCCGTCCGGGCTTTGGGGGCCAGGTTCAGTCTGTCGCTGCTCTTGCTGGAGATGTGTCCCATGCTGTGGTTCCGCTTGTGGTCTTTCTCGTGGTGCCGGTCCTTCCGGTCGTGCAGGGAGAGCGTGGCGAACTTGCTGACCCCCGAGGCGATGGCCCCGTCGGCGACGCTGCTCTTGCTGCCGGCGCTGGAGACGGTGGAATGTGGGAGGCTGTTGGACCTCGGCAGAGGGGGGGGTGCCGAGCTGCCGGGCGTCGTGACGCTGTTCCCGGTGCTCCCGGCCGGGGGGCCGGTGGCGTTCATGACGTTGGTGTGGGTCCGCGCCCTGGAGAGGGGCTGGTGAGGGAACAGGATGTCCTCCGTGAGGTCCCACAGGCAGAGCTGCGTGTCCTGGCCCACGGAGCCGAACCGGTACGTGACGCTGACGGGGCGGCTCTCCGTGGAGTTCCGTTTGGACAGCCGGGACTGCGTGCTGTTGGCCCGGTCTCTGCCGAAGTGGAGCAGGTCCTGGAAGTCCTCGTCACTGCCGCTGAACTCCATGGGGTCGCCTTCCTCTACGCTCGTGGTGTAGGGGTCGAAGGCCACCACGCTGACCCAGGACTTGTGCCCGTGGCCTCGCGCTATGACGCGGCTGTCCACGAAAGACCAGACCGTGACCAGGTCGTCCTCGCCCCCCGTCACGAGGTACTTGCCGTCCGGGCTCCAGCACACGCACAGCAAGCCTCCAAAGTAGCTTTTCATCGTGCCGTGCAGCTCCACAGAGTCAAAGTTGAACACACGCAGAAACCCGTCCTGGCTCACGCACGCCAAGAACTTGCCATCTGGGGAGAAAGCAAACTCGTTGAGGGCCCCCTCGCCCACCGTCCACTTGAGGAGAGGGTTCCTCGTGGATTTGCTCTTGCAAGTGTGCACGGCGAAGCTCTCGCCCTGCTTCAGGAGCTGGTAGTGGGGGGCTGTGGTGCCACAAGTGTGCTCCACATTATACAGGTACATGTTCCCACTTGCATGGGCTACTAGGAAAAGGCTTTCCGAGCCGGGAACCCATTTGACACAGGTCACTCGTGACTTGTCTATTAGTCTCTGTGAAGACAAAGGAGAACACGTTATCACAATGGGAAGCTTGGCGGTCCACCTCCCAGCACAAAGCCTGGCCGCCGCTGGGTGACACTCGAGAGTCACCGGGTGTGACACTCTCCTGCGGCCAGTCTGGCCGGCGCAGAGCGCTCTGGACACGAGGGTGATGACGGCCCAGGACTGCCCCAGGGTGTGAGGCCCAGGGACTCGGGGACTGGGAGGGCCCCAAGCACTGCCGCCCCTCCCACCAGCAGGGCCCAGGGCTCTCAGGCCCCAAGCCCGAGCAGCCACGCGCCCCCCCGCCACCGTCCCCACACTTTCTTGTCACTGCCAGTCACGTGCAGACGGCGCCGCCCCCTGCGTGGCCGGCTCCCAGGACGTCAGCACGGCCTGGGGGCGGGGCACTCTCCTCCTGGCCCACCGCCCCGCGGCCCCTTCCACGGGCCGGCCCTCCACGTCTCCTCCAGAGCTGGCGGCGTGGAGAGAGAGACGGGGACTCGCTCAGGAGCACAGCCCAGCGCCACCACTCTGCTCGCTCCACGTCCCCTGCGGGCACCCTGGCCACCTGCATCTCTCACGGGCACGGACTAGGGACGTCTTCCCTAGGAACCAAGAAAACCAAGGGCCACAAGTAAGAAGCACCCAAAGGCACTGGCACCTTCCCTGCTGGCCAACCTTGCCGAGGCCCCCGTGTGGCGGCCTCCACAGGCTGGCCCTCCGCGGCTGCCTGGCCCCCAAATCACACCAGCAGAGCCCATCCTGAAGCCCCCGAGTTCTCCTCAGACACCCCCACTGCCGGACACCCCACTGCCGGCGCTTCACCGACGTGGATGGAGCTGCAGAACCCGCTGCGCACGGGCGCCTTCCCCTTGTCAGCGCGGTGCCCTGCATCTGCCGTGCGCGCTGTGCTTTCACTGACATCAGCGTGGCGCCCTGCATCTGCCGTGCGCGCTGTGCTTTCACTGACATCAGCGTGGCGCCCTGCATCTGCCGTGCGCGCTGTGCTTTCACTGACATCAGCGTGGCGCCCTGCATCTGCCGTGCGCGCTGTGCTTTCACTGACATCAGCGTGGCGCCCTGCGTCTGCTGTGCGCGCTGTCCTTTCACTGACGTCAGCACGGTGCCCTGTGTCTGCTGTGCGCGCTGTCCTTTCACTGAAAACGAAACATCTGAGTCGTTTCCAAGACATGAGTGACCCCACGAGCTGTTGCAAAAAATCAGACCCCCAGAAGGTGAGAGGCGCACAAACCCCCAGCTGGGGAGGAGTGGGGGACCTGACTGTGTGTGGCAGGCAGGCCTGGGGCTCGGGGACTGCGGGCGGGGCAAACGCTCGTGAACAGCAGGGGTCGCTGCCTGCCACTCCGCGGTGCCAGGGCCACAGGACAGCAGGGCGGGCCCCTCGCTTTAACAGAGACCGGGCGAGAAGCCCTGGGAGACAGTCCACACGTCAATCCCCTGCCTGCCCGCTGACTGACCTCTGCAAAGGTGACTGGCCTGCCCGCCCAGGTCTGAGGGTCGCCACACTCACCCTCTGGGGGGTCTGGTCAGGCGGCTGCAGAAGCAGACCCAGGCCCCCTTCCGGCTCCGTGGCTCCCAGTCCTACACCCTCCACGCCACCACAACCAAGCCACACCTGTTCTCCCGAGACCACTGCACTGTTGCACGTGTGCCACACGTTCAGGACAGACACAGAAGCATTTTGCACCACCGTTAGGAGAAAACTTTATTTCTGGCTTAAAGAAACACAACACAGCCCTGGCGGGCATAGCTCAGTGGATCGAGCGCGGGCTGTGAACCAAAGCATCGCAGCTTCGATTCCCAGTCAGGGCACATGCCTGGGTTGCAGGCCACGGCTCCCAGCAACCGCACGTTGATGTCTGTCTCTCTCTCCCTCCCTTCCCTCTCTAAAAATAAATAATTTTTTTTTTTAAAAAGGCACACAATTCCTTAGAACTCGAAGCTGTAACACTGCCAGGTGAGAACAGTGGTGCCGGGTGACCCCGAGGTGTGGAGAACCACCACGCACCACAATAAGGCCCGAGCTCCGGGGGACAGACCACACGAAGTGGGGGCACCGAGACCGCTCCAGGCGGACACGCGGCTGCACCCCACAGACAGAAGCCCGGCCTGCACACTCAGCACTGAACTGGCACACAGTGTACGCACCCGCGAACCAAACATCCACAGGAACCGCGGTTTCTCCAGTTCCACGCCACTGGCGTCCCCTGCCTGGTCGTGTGCTCCAGCACAGGGACAAGCATGGGTCATCTAGGGGCGCCAAAGTCTCACCCACGCTCGGGGCGCACGCAGCCACGTCAGGACAGCAGCGTAACGTCCGGCCCGAGGCCCTCCTCTGTGCGCCAAACCATGCACGAGGTCTGCACATGCTCCTCAGTCTTTGCAAAAACGCTGTGAGGCCCTCGTCCCTTTGCTTCGGACAGGCCGCCCCGCGCCCACCGCCGCGCCTCACACCAGAGCACACACACCGCGCTCCCGGCCAGGAGGGTGTCTGCATGGCCGCAGAGACGGCCCCTTCCTCTCCCTGCAGAGAGCACACCACTCGATGCAAACCACACTAATGTGAGAGCCTCGGCTGGCGGACAAGGCGGAGCCACCACAGCAGTTTCCGCGTGTGTGGACACACCTGCAGGGCACGTCCTGGTGGAGGAGCTGGGTGGAAAGGTCTCTGCCTGCACAAACCGTGCAGGGATTGAAGATCACCCTCTGTGGAGCACGCAGTTCTGGCCCCATCAGCAACGGTAACAGGGGTGCCGGTTTCCCTGGGGGAAGGCAGGCATCACTGCCTCACTGCCCACCGGGCGCAGGCTCAGAGAGGTCGGGGAAGTCGCCTGAACCTACGCACAGCAGGCCTCCCAGGCCCAAGGAGCCGACTGAGGACAGGTGGAAGACGACTGAGCGGAACGCCCGTGGGTGCTGCCCGTGTGCGCCGGGGCACCCGGCCCGCAGGGGCCGCTGGCTGCGTCCGAGCTGGCTGGTACAGAGCCGTCTGGTCCTCGTTCTCGGCCGGAGACAGCACAGCAGGGACTGGCGCGGCGTGTGAGCCGTGTTAGGTGTTCAAGGGACCTAGAGGGGACCTAACGTCTGCGGGAGGGTGTGTGTGGGCTGCAGGCCAATTCCACAGCACTTGATGTGAGGGGCCCGAGTGTCCGCGGAACCTGGTGACCGAGGGGGGTCCGGAGACCAACGCCCCACGGGTGCTAAGGGACGACTGTATTCGTGTATTCGTTTGAGGAGTCACTCCTCCGCTCTGTACCGGATGCAAGCCCTAGGCCAGGCACTGCAGCAGCAGCGACTGAACAGACATCCATCCCTTCTTGCGTGACATTTGCCTTCCAGAGGAATGAGCGGACAGTGAAGTTTACAAATCTCAGGGAGAACAAACCTCGGGGCGGGGTGGGGCGACACGGCGAAGGCGGGAGGTGCTGCCGAGGGTTCCGGCTCACACGGGAGGCCCAGAGAGGCCTGTCCAGGGCCGGGAGGGGGGGCCGTGTGCAGGCGGCATGGGGGCGGGCAGAGGGCTGAGAGCACGTGGACGAGGCGTCCTGCGCAGGGCACAGCACCGACAAGGACCCCCAGGTGGGGGCGGGCCGGTACCGGACACCCGCAGAGATGGAAGGGACCAGCGTGGGCGCACCCTGGGCCAGAGGACCGCGCACCTGCCCCGGCTGCAGCACCTGAACAAGGGCGGGGAGTTGGGTCCGGAATCGTGAGCTCAGACTCGGGGAACCTGCAGTCCCAGGCGACGGGGCTCGGGCGGGAGCCTGTGCTGCCCCACCCCTTGGCCCCAGCACCCGCAGCCTCGCTGGCCTGAAGCAACCTGTGCGGAGGGGACACTCGGGACCCTGCAGACCAGAACATGACGGGAGCGGAGTGCTCACGTTCATGCCCACTCCGCTGCATGATGAAATCGTATTTTGGATGTATTGGATAAAATAAAACCTCACTTTCGCCTCCTTTCACTGATGGACTGTGGCCAGGAGGAGGTTAGAGCTGCCCAGGTGGCTGACGCCTGCTCTACGGTGGTCCGCAGCGTGCAGCAGGGCGCCAGGCCTCCTGAAGAGTGACCCCCAGGGCAGAGCCAGGACAATGGTCCGTGGCCGTTGGCTTGAACTGTGGCTGGGTGGCAGGCTGCATGGAACGGAGGTGGTGGAGGAAGGGGCAATGGAAGCCCACGGTTCCGAGCCTGTGTGACGGGCAGGCAGTGACAGAAAGGACAGGGAGAGGTGGCTGAGCGGGGGAAAGCCAGATACCCTCCCCCTGCGGGCCGCCGGCACCCTGAGCGCTCCAGCAAAGAAGGTGGAGCAAGGAAGAAAAGGAGAGTGAACTTCAAACCCCCACTCACGAGGAGCAGGGGGAAAGCAGAGGAAAGGGCCCAGGTGTCCATGAGGAGGGCAGGGTGGGGAAGCCAGGAGCCCTGCTCTGGGCGTCAAGATGCCCCTCGGTCAGGGGGTGGCCGAGACCCTGGAGAAGTGGAGGGGAGGCCGGCCAAGGGAAGGAGCCCAGCAAGGGGTGGGGACACGGGGCAGGGAGAGGCTGGGGGGCGGTCAGCAGGGGAGGTGGAGCTGCTGAGAAGGTCTCTGTGAGGTCACGGGCACAGCCATTGGGCTTTCCAGTCAAGAGAGTGAAGTCCCGAAATGCCACAAGGCCCGCTGCTATAACCACTTTCACAAAAACCAGAAATAAGATCTGGACCTTTCTGTAACAAGACCGCCGTTCGGGGCGACCCCCAGCCCACGCCTCCCCCAGCCTTCACCCGCGGCCCCACGCGCCCTGCTCTGAGAGGAACTGCCGCAGAAACTGCCCCCTTCGGACAGCAACCCCGCGAGGACCTCGCGTGAGCCCGCACCGGCACCCACAGCATGGGCAGGCAGGACTCTCGACCACCCCGAACCCGTCAAAGGAAGCAAGAACAAAAACCCGCGACCACACCGAAGCATCGCCACTGAGCGAAGCTTTCTGAAACACTCGATTTCCTTCTTCACTGTGACAACATGATGAGCAGGAGAAAGTTATTTTTGGAGGAGTGTGCATTTTAAAATGCAGATATTAATCTATAACAAGAAAACTGAAGCCAACAACTCAAAGACCAGAGCGGCTGGCAGAGCTGTGACGCAGCCGCCAGCAGAGCCGGCACCGAGGGCGCACCGCAGGGCGGCGGCTTCCGCGGGGGCCGTGAGGAGGGGCCGCTTCAAAGCCGGGCGAGAGGAGCAAATGCCACTTTCATCAACGCTAAAACTTTAAGGACTCCATCAACATCACTATGGGCTCACTTCCTTCCTTCTATTAAAAAAAGCAACAACGAAACACCACCAGGACCCACAGAGCCGCTCTTCCCTGACGGAACTGGACAAAAGGCTGCAAGGCCAAGGCTGGGCCGTGCCCGCCCCCACCCCCTGCTCCCACCCCCGCCCCCACCCCAGGGCACGGCGCAGGAGGAGCCTGCAGCTGGTGTGGCGGGAGAATTCACAGCCCTGGGCTGGCACCAGGGACCGGAGCCGGGCCTCCTCCGTGCCCCCGAGTGGGGCTCGATCTGGAGAGGCCACTCAGTGTGCTGTCCCGGACCCGGACCCGAACCCGTGACAAGGACAGAGCGTCTCATTACAGGTCAGTCATGAAAGAGGCCAAGGTGACAAATTCTTTTTAGACTTTACACCCAGCCCAACAATCCAAACACATGGAAAGTCCCCTGAGGTTCCTATTCTGCGGCTACAACTCTGGAGTAGCTAAAGTCTGTATAAAAATGAACAAGGCTAAGTTTATCATCACACAGGGACTGTCCCTGTGACCCCTCCTCCCCGACATGTCATAACCACTAGCCGTGAGAAGTGACCCCCCCCACCGGAGTGCTGCACTCAGGCTGGAGGCCGACGGCCGCCCTCCTGTCCAGGGAGCTCTCCCCACAGGGCGGCCCTGTGGTCCGGCCGTCTGCCGGAGGGGCTCACACCCCCGCCCGCGGGGGGGGGCCCAGGGGTTCTGAGGCCAGCTCTTGCCGAGGGAGGCCGAAAGGCCTGGGCACCTCCCCCCCGGGGCCAGCAGGGCCCAGCAGCCCAGGTCTCCAGGGGAGGGGACCCCCGGGATGGGGGAGCAGCCAGCATGCCCCCGGCGAGTGGACGGCACAGCTCGGGCCAGACTGGGAGGGGAAGGCCGCGGCGTCCCCAGTGGAAGGTGTGAGCCTCGGCCTCACACAGAGGCACAGCTAGGAGGGGCCACTGCGGGTTTCTCAGGGCTCTCTCTCCCGGGCACTCCTCCGGGCCCCGGTGTTCTTGCACACAGGTGTTTCGACTTCTTTCATTTCTTAGTTCATGGGAGGGAAGTTAAGACATACACGATTCATCCCCACACAGAACTTCCCATCTACCTTCAACCTCAGGTGGCTTCCCGGAGCCTACAACCCCACGCCAGGCGCCCGCCCGGACACGTGCCGTGTTCCCAGGCACCAGGTGCCTCCAGAAAGGAGGCGGTGCTCGGAACGGTCACGACTGGCGCCTGTGTGAGCGCCCCACGTGCGCCACGGCAGCAGGGAAGCGCTCTGGGGGGACCGACGGACGGACCGACGGACCGACACCGCGGCCGTGACGAGCAGCCCCGTCCTCGGCCTCACGCCCGAGGTTCCGCTCGGCTGCCCCGACCTTCTTACCTGGTCGTCCTGGAAAACTGTTTCTATTTCTCCTTCAAAAATGCCACTCCCTCGTCCCCCAGGAAGCCGAGTCTCCCCCTGGCTGGAACCTGACCTGGCCTCACCAGGGCCCGCACCAGGAGGACGGCCAGTGACAGGCCCCTGGGCCAGCAGCCAGAGGCCGAGCGCCTGGCGCTGAGCCCGCCCACGCCCGGGGATCATCAGCTCACTGCTCTAGGAGCGCCTCTGAGGACAGGGTGACGCACTGGCCAGGGTCTCGGAGACAGGCCGGCCCAGGCCCTGTGGCTGCCCTCACCACACTTTCCCACCGACCCTCCTTCCGGCCTCGGGGACGGGACGGCTGGTTGCACGCTGACCACTCCCACGTGCGCCACTCCAGGGGTTAACACGCTCAGCGGGGGCTGTGGTCTCGTCCTCCAACCCCACACCCGCGCCCTCCTGCTCCTGGCCAGTGCGGCCAAGAGATCACCAGGAACCCACAGTTTGCTGCCCCCCCCCCCCCCCGGCTCAGCTCCAAGCAGCAGCCAGGGCGATTTTCAAAAGTGCCACCCGACGGCCTCTTGCCCCTGCCCCCTTCCAGGGACCCGCCCGCTTGGGCGAAGACACGGCCCTGAGCCTGACGCCGCCGAGTGGCGCGGCCCCCAGCTGACACCACTCTCCCCGGGCACGCCGTCCTCGCTCAGCTCTCTAGGGTCCACGTTCTTCCCCAGCCCCGGGCCTGCACCTACGCCCCTTCCTGCAGGGGGCGCTCCACCCCGGTTCCTTACCTGGTTGGCCGCCTCCTCCCGGAGGCTCAGTGTGAGGCACACCGCCACCCCCCCCAAGAAGCTCCCCTCCCTGGTCGAGGAGGCCTCCGAGTTTCTCTCGCAGGCCCACTGTCTCCTCTCACACTGGATGTGGCCATCTGCCGTGTGTGAGTGTGAGCGTGAACGTGAGCGTGAGCGTGTGTGTGCTGCAGGGTGGGGGTCGCCTGCCACTGCAGACCCGTGCCAGGCGCACGGCAGGCGGCCGAGGTCTGCCGGATGAACGAGAAAGTGGCCACGACTCTAGTCCGAGCCCTCAGCTCTCACCTGGACAGTTACTAGAGCCTCCTCACTGGTCGTGCTACCTTCATTCTCTCTGTCTTCGTTCCACTCCACCTTCCACAAGTGCTGACAAGAGCTCTAAAAAACACATTTGGTCCTGTCACTCCCCTGAGGAAAAGCCCAAGGCTCCCCCGCGGCCTCCGGGGTCAGACCCAGACCTGCCAGCACGTCACAGGAGAGAGGGCCTGCACGAGCCGGCTGCGGGCGACCCGTCCAGGTCCGACCCTGCCACCCCGAGGCCTGCGCGCCGCGGCCTGGCCACAAGGCGCCGTGCCGCTCCGCCCCACGCCACGGGCTTTCCTCCGGCCCTGAAGGCCTCTCTCGCCCTGCTCCACTCCTCGGCGTCTTTCAAGACCCAGGTAGCAAATGCCACCTTCTGGAAGCCTCCTCGGGCTTCTGCCACCGGGCTTCGCTGGGGGTTTTGTTTTACAAGCGCTGACATGCCCTCAAGAGCAGAGTCACCGCAGGGCCCTGGCACCCTGTCCCTGCGTGGCGCTGACACTGGGCCCGGCACTGGCTGTCCACCCGTCCTGAACGAGAGCCTGGGGGCGGGGCCCGCCCGTCCTGCAAACACGTGGGGGCCTGAGTCCGTGACCAGTAAGAGCCTGTGCAGTTCATTTCTGCCATCAGGTCTGTCACCCAGATGCACTTGATCCGGGCAATTCACTTACCTTCTCTTACACCAGCTGCCCACCTGTAAGACAGGGACAGCTGCCCACGCCCCCAAACGGAGGGAACGTGCAGAGCGCTCGGACCCCGACTCTCACACCACGCCGAGTGCGGGGACTGCGCCAACCACCCCCCGGAGCTCCCTGAGAGACGCGCCTCTGACGGCCTTGCTCTCAGCCATCCCGGCCGACACCTGGCGACGATGTCACCACGCGGCCGGAGAATGGCCCTCCTGGGAAGGACCGTCAGTCCCGCCTGGAGCTGCAAGGGCCACGCTGGCATCGCACTCTGCACAGCCCTGGCTTTTGAACGGCCGCTTTGCCAACGGAGAGAGCGCGTGCGCGGACTCGTGCTCAAGTCACCGAGAGCAAGGAGGGGCTGCTCAGCCCGCCACGCCCAGGTGTCCAGAGGGAGGGACGGGACGTGCCGCGCGCTCCGGGCCCCGTGGTCCCGGCTCCTCCCCTCCCCTCCCCCCCCAGCGGTGACACACAACGCCTTGTTCTCCAAGGGGCCTTCCGTGCCAGCCTCAGCTCGAGCAGCCGCTCGCCCTCGTTGTTCACAGGGTCCCGGCGCCCCCACCGCACCACCAACAGAACCCCACAGTGAGTCCAGCTCGCCGCCGCCGCAACCAGCAGTGCAGAGAGGACTGGTGTCGTGACTCCAGTCTCCCACGCCAAAAAACATACCGAGGGACATCATCTAGCTAACTGAGAAATCCCTTCCTCGGGTGATACTAACAAAATCTGTAGGAAGACAACAATTTTCTGCTTGAGATTTTTAAACAGAAAGCAGAATTAAAGTCTCTTCCTCTGCAGTCTGCCAATCCCGATGGCGAGTTTTGTTTCCAGTCGCCCGGACGGACGAGAGGAGGCGGCGGCACGTCCAGCGGCTGTCACCAAGCCCCGGGCACGGGCACGCGGCAGCACGGCGGACGGCACTGCACGCGTGTGGACGGCACAGACCGCACCGGCTGCAGGGGAGTCAGAGCTTCGACCGCAACTTGTCAAGTGGAATGTTCTTCCCCAGACAAACGTATTTCTTAAAAACCAGAATCTGTAACGTGCTTCTGCTCCGAGTCAATGGCATTAAGACCATGCCGCAGTGCAAAACCCCTTGCACTCCCTGAGGAGAGGGGTCCCAGGTGGCCAGACCCTTGTCAGGTCAGGGCTGAGGTCACAGAGAGGGACCCGGGACCTCTGGCTCAGCCAGCCTGCGTCACCTCCCCGCGGGCTGGGAGAGCCATGCTGAGACACAGGAGGGAGGACACCGAACACGTCACAGTAATGCGTGGGGCCGAGAGGCCACTGCAACCGCGGTCGCACACACAACCTGTCTGGCAATGCCCACCTGCCACGCGTCCCAGTCCTGGCGTGTCCTAAACAGACAGCTCAGGCACCTCGGCCCCTTCCAGAAGGAAACCGAGGAGACCAGAAGCCCCCGAACATACTACAGCGCTGGCAGAAGCTAAGCCGTGTGACCCAACGTTAAGTGCTAGGACTCCTAACTGCGTCCAAGGTGATTTGGCAGTGAACCCTTTCAAGAGCCAAATAATCACTCCTCAGCCCTTAGAGGCCTGCCAAATGCCCACCCAAAGCTGTAAGTGCCATCTAAGCCGCCGAAGGGAATGTCTTCAGGTTCTTGGGTCTGCATGAAAATGTCTGACGATGTGAACAAAGTCTGGAATTTTGTGTTTTTTATTTAAATTACAAATATCAAGTTACAGTCTCACCCCTATCTCCACTGTAACGGTTGTCGAGCCCCTGCCAGAGACACCCGAGCACCTGACCGTGCCCCACAGGAAGCGCAGCGCACACACCAGTCCCCCGGGGAGAGCGAGGCGAGGCCGCGAGCCCGCCCGCCTGCCGAGAGCGGGCAGTGCAGGCGGGACGGCCGGGCACGAGGGAGACGGGCGTCACTCGGCGTGTAAGGAAAGGCCCACATCCCTTGGTCAGGACATGTGATTTTTAAAGGGGTTCTTAACGGCTAAGACGGGGTGCTACTTACTTCCTCATTAAATAGTTTGCTAGTTTCTTTTTTGATGGGGTCTATGAGCTGGACTTGGCCTGCGGAAAAGCCCACTAGGAGGGAGACACTCTCTGCTGTGGCTGTGAGGTGGTTGAAGTCATGACAAGTGGGCTGTGTTCCTTTGTATATCCTCTTATCTATCGGTTTACTCAAGTCCGCAGCCTGGAGGAGAGAGAGAGAAACACACACAGTGAACAGCACGTTGAGGTGAGAGCGCCCAGCCACACTATTTCACACTGCACTCCACGGTCCCTCTTAAAAACAAGGGTGTTCGCAACACCGTTTCGGGTTTTAGCGTTTCACCAAAGCACCTTCACATACCTGGGCCAGTCTGACGTTGTCAGACTATCCATGCAATGTTTGTAACTGTTACTCGCACACCTTATTTCAAATACGTTTAACCAGACAGACTCCTGGACCTCAGGAGGGAAAATCCTTCAGACGCTAAATTCAGCATTTGCAAAATGCAATCGAAGCGTTTTCTGAGAGAGTACCTCTGACCACATAAGAGCTCAACAGCACCTAAATGCTCCTTGGTGAGTTACCTGTAGCCCAGGAGCTCTCAAAGTGTGGTCCCCAGACCAGCAGTGGCCGCAGCAGCATCACCTGGAAACTCAGAAACGCAAATTCTCAAGCCCCGCCCTAGACCGGAAAACTCAGAAACCGTGGGGGTGGGCCCAGACACTGCCCTGAAAGCCTCCTGGGTGGGTGATCCCACGCTTCCCGGCTGCGCCGTGAGACCCACTGCTGCGTGAGCAGCCCCGGGGCGGCCCCGCCCCTCCCCGCACCACTCTCAGGTGACTGCGCACGCAGCCCACACCCACTCGCGTGCCGCAGTGCATCACCGCTCGCCCTCACAATGATCCTTCCGAGCGGACAACACTGCCCCGTTTACAGATGAGAAAACAACTTCAGGGAGTTAAGCAACTCAGCCAGAAGCATCGTGTCCACCCAGCACGACGCAGGGCCAGACTGGAAACCGAAGTCTGCCGACCATAAAGAGGTTGGGGAAAGTGCGCAGCCACCCCGCCCCCCCCCCCAGGAGAGAGAGAATGACTTCGACGCGGGCTAAAACGTGGCTTTTCAAGGCGGCACCTCCCTTCACAGCCGGGTTCTTTTCTTCACGGGGAGTCCTGTGCCAGCCGTGTGCGGGCTGTCGCTGGGGAAACAGGGAACCCCCACTCACACTTGTCTGTAAACCACAGGGGAGACAACTGACGCTGCCGACCGCACCTTTCAACGCCCCGGGCCTGCGCGCTGCTGGGGGCACGCTTCCCTGGGGGCCCCCGGCCCCGAGCAGGTTCCGAGGATTTCTTCCTTCCAGAGGAGGCCTGGGCACTGTACTGAGTGTCGTATGTTTGACTTTTCAGATAACAAATACAAATACTGACAAGAAAAGAGGACCTCGAAATTACAGGCATCTCTGAGCAAACGCAGAGCCTGAGCCTTTGGAAGAAGGGCCCTGAGCGGTTCGAGGTGGAGTGCAGGGCCCGGGGGCCCTCCCCCTGCCCCGCCCCACGTCCACAGAGATGAGAATCTGCCCCGCCAATCTCCTGGGGCCGTCTGGAGGGCGGACTAAGGGACAAGCGTGAGGAAGAGCCTGGGCAGGTGTGCTGGAAAGCTACAGACAGAACAAAAGGACGTCCTGACTCTGGGGCGGGGGGGGCCAGTGGGGAGGGAGTAAGTGCTGGGCAAGGGGGCGGGGGTGGGGGCAGGCAGGTGGTGGAAGCCCCGGAACCAGAAAGGAGCCCCCTCCCCCGCAAGGAGGGGGAGCAAACCACCTCAGAACAAGGAAGGCATCGGCAAAAGTTAAAGTCGCTCCAAATACAGAACAAGGGACACCGGCAGCTAGAAACAAAACTCAAAGTTGAAATATGAGCAAATCAAATCATATCGTGGTTTCTGTGTCAGCATGTGTCACTCTGGAGACATTTAAAGTTTGCTTACGGAACTTCCGCCGAAAGAACGTGCCTAACGTTATACACTGAAATATAAAAACAACTTAAAGCCAAAAATTAACAGAGAAAACATACGGACATAAGTGAAATGAGCAAGAGAGGGTACGCTAGTCCTCAGGAGCAGGTATGAGTACCCGCGTTCCCAAGCGTTCCCCGAGTTCAGACCTGGGGCCCCCTCGGCCTCAGTTCCTGGTGCACAGGGGTGTGGCACAAGCCGGTTTCCAGTTGTGGGTGCACGGAACAGAGTTTACCCTCGAAGTATTTATTCACTGTCGCCGTATTTTCCGTACGCGCAGCTGTAAACCCCCTCCTGCCCTCCCCGTCTCCAGTCTCCACCCCTGCCCCTGCCGGGGAGGCTCGTGCAAGAGACGTCGTCTGTGGTGACATCACCTGCGAACACGCACCGCGAGTGCTTTCAATGCCAAAGGAAAGGCTATTTTTACTCTTAAGTCATGTAAATATTCTGAAAACATCCTGTTTACCAATCTGCTTACCAAACTTTCTTCCTAAATAACTGCTCTCCAAGCGAACCGGTCCGTGAACAGTTTAACAGTCTGTAGTCAAGATTAAGATCCAGTCACTGTGAATAAGCTTTATGGAAGTCTGATGGAGTCCTTTTTTACCTATTGATTTAATTTAAAAAAAAACAACAACAATAGTCTGCATTCTGTGTGTCTTTTCAGTTTCTTTTTCTAGTAATTCTTTTTTTATTTTACCAGATTTCTGATCAGTCCAGACAGGCTGGAAATGTAGAAAACTGGCCCAGGACTCGGGTGGGAGGTGCAGGGAGGCACACAGGCTGGCCTGGGAGCAGGAGCACCCCGACCGACCGACGGACGGACCACACCTCTGCCTGCCGTGAGGTCGGCCCGGCCCACAACCCCAGCGGGCGGAGCTACCAGGACAGCAGAAGTCTGGCCCAGCGGTGCAGCGTGCTGCCTACACCGAGCGAGGGTCACTGTGAGGCCTGAGTGACAGCCAGGTGCACGCCCACAGGAAGCTGGACTTCTAAGGAACCCACGGACCCCGACACTGACACCTGGGCTTTTAGGAACCAGCTCACACATCTGGGACTCGTCTTGTCCTCTTTCCTCTGCAGCCAGTCTCTAGCCTCTCTTTTTCCACGATGTGCCTCTTCCTCCTCATTTTGGGGGGGCTGGGGGTGTGCGCACATGCACTCTGAACTCACACACCTTTTTAGCAGCGGTGGTAACTCCCTGAGCCAGCCACCCTCTTCCCCGCGGGGGCAGCAGCCCCCACCTCCACATTGGCTTCCCGGGAAGAGGCAGTCCAGGAGAAGAAGAGCCCAGACTCCGGCACGGGCAGGCCCTGCTCTGAGCCTTGCCTCCCCTCTCGGTGGCCAGGTGACCTTGTGCAGGGCGGTCAACCTCTCCCACCCCAGCTTCCCTGCAGGCGGCGGGGGGGCCCACAGACAGTGGACAGAAAGCACAGAGTATGCAGAAGCACCCAAACGGTAGCTGTCACTGTTCACTCATCCCCGTCACAACTTCGAGTCAAGTGGTTTCCTGATTTCCACCGCGTTCGAGCAGGATGCCGCACCTGGCAATCCCGCCCCCCTTCCTCCCCAACAGCAACACCGACTTCGTCCACAGGACACCTTCTGTGCACCCGCGACTTCGCACCCGTCATCTCACCGAGCCTCGCGGCGGGAACACTGCCCGCATGCGACGGCTGAGAGACCTGCAGAGGAGGAGCTCAGGGCTCCCCCGCTCTGCAGGGTCTTGCCCCGCCCTCCACCTGCCCCCACACCACACGGCAGGGGCGGGGGTTTGGTGCAGGCAGGCAGCCCTCTTCTCTGGCTTCATCAGCCCACCCCTGGGTTGGGAGAGTCTTCTCCGCCCGTTTCCAGGCTGCTCGCTGGCCAGCCCAAGCCCTGCCGCTCCCGGGCGGGCTTCTTCCCATCGACCGACCGACCCACCACTCCCTGTGCCAGCTGCTCTAGCTCAGCTCTCAAGGACTTAATCTGTCCCACGAAATTCAGTGTTTACCACGTGAGTGACTCCAGTTTTATGTGTGCTATCATCAACTATAATAAAAACTGCAATTATGATAAAAGATTACAGTAAAAAACTCCTTTGAGGAGAACTTTTTAAAAGAGTTACCATTGTACTGCTCCACAAAATTGGCTTTTGTTTTTCGGCTTTTAGGTGGATTCTGCATAGAAGGGTTTTAGACACTTCGGGATTTTTAAAAATGTTTCTGCGTCCTAATTGTTGCCTATCATCTGAATTAAGTACGAATTTATTCCAAAACACATTGTATTGAAATATTTACCAACTGTAAGAGTCGGACCGCACTGGCTCGTCCAGCCCCAGCAGAGCGTCCGTGTGCCACGCACACTCAGGATCGGCTGCATGAATGAGAATGCGACTGTTTCGAATTTCTTCAACGGTAACATTAAATTTTGTCATCATGCTCATTAGTTTCTGCATAAGGAGTCAGTAGTTACGAATAATCTGTCAGTGTCTTACTCTAAACTTCACAGAAAAATCTCAGGGGGTGGTTTAGGATTCCTACCACAGAAACAGAGCTGGCTGCCCAAACCCTCAGTCAGTGCGTACAAACTGTAACACGTCATGTTTCTCTTTTCCTTGGACTTTCAATCCTTAAAATCCTTCGAATTCTTTTCTGGACAAACACTGCTGCAGCGCGGAGTCAGCCTGGCCGGCTGAGCACGGCACCGCGAGGGCCTGCAGAAGAGACCCTCCTGCCCCAGCTCCCCCGTCACCCCAGACGCGGCCTGGGCTGCTGGCCGCCGCGCCGAGCCAACAGGGAGGCAGAGAGGGCCTCGCCCCCCCGGAGGGTCCAGCCCACCGACAGGAAGGGGCTGCCGCCGGCTCGGCGGCCTGTGCTGAGTCCTCTTCCCGGGAGCCTGCCCCCGACGCGCCAGAGGGCCCAGAAGCCTTTGCTGTGACACAGAAAGTACCGCAGAAAGACCCCTTTGAAAAGTGCACATCAGGTTATGACACGTGGGTGCAAAGTAGGTAATAAAGGTGGGCTTACTTTCCCAAAATTCCTCCTCCTCCTTCCTCATGCGAGAAGCCCCTCAGAGAGCCCGTCCCACAGCGCCGGCCAGAGTCCTCTGCCGGCTGACCTAGTGGCCGGCGGACCCCAGCCCGGCCAGAAGCTCGCCAGCCCACACCAGCAGACCCTGCCATTTCCTCCTGGGTGCCCCTCGCCGCC